GTAATCTTCTTTTCTCAGCCTCTCAAGGACACATGTACGACCATGAGTAGTAGGTTTACTTTTTTTTTTTTTGGACCCGGGGATTGAACTTGGATCCTTGAGCTTGTGGGGGCAGGTGGTGGATACATTTTTTATTGTGGTAAAATACACAAAATTTATAATTTTAACTATTTTTAAGATCACAATTTAGTTTTAACCATTTTAAAATTTACATTAAATGTATTCAAATGCTATATAATTATCACCACTGTGCTTTGATTTATATTTGTGGAACTATATATATTTGGCTTTCTTTGCCCATCTTGTCATCTTCTCTTATTTCTTTTTTGGTTTCTTTTTTTGGGGGGGTACCAGGGATCGAACTTGGACCCTTGCGCTTGCAAGCCAGGTGGTGGAACCACTGAGCTAAATCCCTGGCCCTCTTATTTCTTTTTTAAAATGTTTGACTTTTCCCCCCCCTTTCTATCCTCTATTTGTCTTATTGTCCTTTCTGTGATACATAGTCTCTCCTATTTTCTTTCTAATGTGTCATTTAAAAATATCATTTTAAATGGTTGTGAGGTAGAAGAAATAATGAGGTAGGAGAGAAGAAATTAAAAACTGGGTAGAAAGGAGATTAAAAAATCAAGATTTAAAAACTGTACTTTTAAGAAAAACAGCAGCTTCAAGGCAATGTGTTTACCTTTACAGGAAACTCACTGGACTAGGAGCTAGACCCTGAGATAAGGTCAGCCCCAATGTCAAAAGACTTTGGCCAGATTTATACTCCTTCCCCAGATCTATCACTAGGAAGGCTATAAATTGGCCCAATTTAAGAAAGTAAACAAAAGGCTGAGTGAATCCAGAAAGTATTTAAATCAACTCCCTGTGGAAAGGCAGGGGGTGGCGCTCAGTGTGTCAGACATCGAACAAGTTGGGAGTTACATCTATTTCCCCTATATCATCCCTATATCAGGGTTACTGTTGGGTCCTTCAGCCAGCTGTACCTTGAAAATCAAGAGGAATTAGCCCAGCAGAATGATTTTAAGTTTTGAGTTCGGTGACAAAGGAAGCTCCAAAGATGGAACAGAGTAGAACTTGGTTATGAAAGGATTAGCGTTAAAAAACCAAGTACTATACTTTGGAACAGAATAGAAAAGATGGCCTGAGTGAGGGCTTAGCGAGAACCAGGAGGACCTCACCCTCTGCAGCCTCAAATTGCAAAAGATGAAAGATTTTGCTTCTAGAAGAGAGCACCAGGGAGATGTTCCAGAATGGCAGCTGGCTAGGGAAGTTGTTCCTCAGAATTGGATTCATAGTGCTTAGCCTTTGAGGCACTTAGCCTCTGCAACTACTAGCAAGATGCAAAAGGACTCTGCTACTGTTCCAGTTGGTGGAAGACCTTGGTGTCATCCATGTGGTGCTGGTTTTATATGTATGCAGAATGTAAGAGTTTTCAGGTAAGGAAGGCTTCTACCCAGCTTTTAGACAGCCTGGGAGGTCAGCAGCAGTATGCCCCCGAGAGGGCAGTGTGTCAAGCTGTGAGAGTGAAACTGCAGGTACAGTGGAGACCCCAAAAAGTCAGAGAAGCCAAGAATGCCTATTTACCTGAGGAAAGTCGCAAGGAGTGTACAAAGCTGGCTGAAAAAAGAAGCCATGAAGACTACAACTGATAGGGAAAAGTTTTAGATAACTTAATAGATTGAATATTAAGGTAATTGTAGAAGCAAAATAAGTAATGCGTTCTTTTAAGATTTGCTTTTCCCATAACTCTCTTTAAGGTGAAGGTAATCTGACTCTTTAACCAGTAACTTCATTAACCTAAAAAAGTTGCAATGCCAGGGTGAATTTACAATGTATATGGCCTATCTTGTGTCTGTGACTTGTAATTAGGAACTGGAATTGTATTTACACATCAAAGACTACTAGGGATGAGATAATGGCTAAAAAGGATATAAAAAGGGAACTGCTAAACAAAGGAGCTCGGATACTAACCAAACAGGTTTCTGGTGGTCCTGCTCGTGAGTAGAAATTTTATTATTTTACCGGAATTCTTTGTCTCCATGTATTTCTTTCTGAGATTTCTGGAACACAACCACCTGCAAGTCCATAGGGGCGGAGCTACCCAAGTGCTTTAGAGTTCCTATCTTGCCACAGATTGTTCCAGGTGCTGGACATGGAACTATGGGATTTAATGTTTGCCTTGCTGGATTTTGGTCTTGCTTTGGTCCCATTCTTATCCCCCATTTCTCCCTTTTGGACTGGGAATGCTTATCTTGTGCCATTGTATGTTGGAAGTGTTTAACTTCCTTTTCATTTGTAGGGGGCTCAGAGCTAAGAGTTTACCTTAAATCTCAGAAGAAACTTTGGACTTAAGACTTTTCAGCAATTCTGAAACTGTTAGGACATTGGCAGCTCTAGAATACACTAAGTTCATTTTGCACAAAGGGACATGCATGAGTCTTTTGAGGGCCAGGGGTGGAATGCTATGCCTTATATTTAGATGTTCCCCCACAGCTTCTTGCACTCATAGGTGAAGCTTTTGGGAGGTAACTGGATCATGTGGTACTGGATTAATCCACTGATGGGTTTGTAGCTAGATGTGATGCTGGGTGGAGATGCCTGGTGGGAGGAGATGGGTGACTGTGGGTATGTATGTGTATATATATATATATGTATATATATATATACACATATATATATGTGTGTGTGTATATATATATATACACACATATATATGTATATATATATATATATATCTCCTTCCTCCTGCTTTGAGTGTTCCTTGCCTCCTGCTTGCCATGCCCTGAACTTCTGCCATGCTGCCCTACCTTGGAACCAGTAGACTATGAACTGAAACCTCTACAAACTGAGCCAAAATAAACCTTTCCTTACTCTAATTTGTGGGTCTTGGATATTTTCTCCCAGCAATGAGAAAGTAATTAAGACAATACTTTAAATGGCTTTTTTTCCTCTTAAGTGAAACAATTCGAATGTTACGCTGTATTTACCTAACACAGTCAGTGATCAATGGAAATCTAGGCTCAGGTATTCAATCAATTTCATTGATTAGGTGAATACGAAACTGCAGTGGCCATTTATTTTAACCCTTTCAGTTTTAAATCTTTTTATGTTTAGTCATATTTTTCCTGTTCAATTTATCCCCAAATGGATAGTATTAAATACCAGAAAGGTGATGATGAAAGGCATTAATGGGGAATATAAGAATATTTCTGCAAATGCATTTCAAAATATTCCCCCCAAATGACATATAAATAAAAATTATTACAATGCACAGCAAGATGTTTCTATACTTTAAAAGTAATTTTAGGGCCAAGGATTTAGCTCAGTGGTTCTGGTGCCTGCCTCAAAAGCACAAGGTCCCAAGTTCGATCCTGGTACCAAAAAAAAAGTAATTTTAAAGGGTTGGAGGTGCAGTTCCTAATTTTAAAGGTTTGGAGGTGCAGACAGTGGGTGTAGTATGCCATAGGCACTGGGTTTAATCCTCAGCACCTAAATAAATAAATAAAAGAAGAAATTATATGTAATTTGGTTTTTCAGTTACTAAAGGGAGAAAGCAACACAATTTGGACTTCCATTCAGAATCCCCATATGGTAGACATCTACCAAGACCTTTTTCTTCTTTCCACTAAAACTCTCCTAACTTCCTCTTTTTGGTTCACAACTTCATGAAACCATGAGCTCCATTTGTACGGAATTAACTGTTTCACTGGCACATGCTAAATACCTGCTCTACCACTGAGCTACACCTCCAATCATTTATTGGTGTTTCTTACCTATCAATTTACTCGATAACATATCTTCTATTAACATGCACTTTAGCCATCAACTTAACAGTAAATTATTGATACTTGAATTCTTGCAACTTAGGTTTTACAAGATTCATGGATAAAAAATAAATTTAAAAACAAAGTAATTTATTATTTAGTTTTTATTTATTTTGTTTGAGACATGAATCTTTCTGTGTAGTTCAAGCTAGCCTTGTACTGCAGGACTCACTGGCCTTGAACCGTCAATCTTCCTGCTCACAACATATTACTTTTTAATTCGTTTGGTTTCAGATCCAATACATTTTCCTCTCAAACGAAAGATGATGTGTACTTTCTACTTTGACGTGAAAGGAAGGAAGGAAGGAAGGAAGGAAGGAAGGAAGGAAGGAAAAAAAGAAAGAAAGACAAAGTAATTCTTGTCTCTTTCCTCCAACAAGCACTCAGAAGTTAAAGTGTTTTCCCTACAAGCCTTGAAGAAGCAACAAATTATGGTAAAGTAAATCCAGAGATTTACACATCTTACAGCAAACACTTTGAAACCAAGGAAATCAAAATTTGATGACATTCTTTCTTCACTTCCTGTTTTGTACCACATTTCAAAAAACCAAACAAGTGAAAAAACGCTGCAGGAGCAAAGGCTAATGCACGCTAATGAATAAAGTGGCTCAAATGCAGACATTCACTAATACCAAAGGATCGTCTTAATCAAAAGGCAACTCTCTCCAGAAGAAACAGTTTAACAGCTGCTTCCTGACAAAGGACCAAAAAAAAGGTTTCTTTCAAACTAGAGGATGGTCCAGGAGACATCTTCCCTTCTTCCCTTCCAATTACCAGCTTTGTTCCTTTCTGAATCTTGCGATCCATCAGCCAGCCTACTTTATCCATAAAGGGAGTTGGCAGACGCTTTCCGGGACAGATTACAGAAATAGCTGTCAGAAACCACGGAATCAAGGGTGAGGCATTATAGCCACCAACAAACTCAAAGCCAGGATGACCACCAACACCAGTGCCTTGCTCTCCCTAGCCAGGGATGAAACTCAGGCCCAGGAGACTTGTCTTTTCCGTCAAGTGAAAAGGCGTGGTATCTCTTACCCCCACCCCCCGCCCCTGGTTCCTCCAGTACCTCTCTCCTCCCCTATGTCCTCATCACAAGGACAGCCGCTACATACTTTTTCAATCCCCAAAGAAGACCAGACCAAGCCACACACAAGATGGCAGCCATACACCTACCGACGAAAAGAGCTGCGCCACCACTCCAGCCATGCTGGTCTCTAAACTGTGAGTAATCCAATTGGTCCATTCACAAAACGCGAGACAAGAAGCGAGCTCTGACAGCCAATCAGGAGGCGGCGCGCTCGGGATTCTGTGTCTGTGTCGGCTGTTCGGCGGGAGACCCGGAGAGTAAGTGTTGGGCTTGAGGCAGGTCGGCGGTAGAGGATTTGGTCGTCAGACTCCTTCCATTTGGTGATCATATCACTGCGGATGCTGGAGGGTAGAAGTTGTGCTGTTCCCCCTTCCGGGATGAAGTGAAGTCTAGTAAACGCTGAAGTACTTCCCGGCCAAAGGTTACGTGCGGCCTGAGGTCCTTGCAGCACAGAGTTGAAGAAGAGCTGGACTCGCGGGCGAAACCTGCCTCGCCAACGGAGCAGGCGGAGCGCCGCCCTCAGGAGTGGCGAGCGGCCTGGAAAACCCTGTGGAGTCAGCGTTGCCGACTCGGTTTCCTCGACAGCTCCTTTAGCCAGGGAATGGGAAGACCTGCAAGCGCCGCGGGGCCCTCGATGGCGTAAGCAGGAACCGCGCACCGGCTGCTGCAGCGTCCCTTTTCCTTACCCTCACTCGCAGTCCCAGACTGGAGGGACCCGCCGGCGCCCTGAGCCCCAGCCCCTACATTGTTCTTTATCTCCTGGTGATTCCAGACCAGCTGAGAGGGAACCTGAAGCTGTAGAGGGGACTGCAGGACATGGACTGCAGTATAAAATCCAGAAGCCAACTTGAAGCTTTAACCATTGACCCATTTTATAGGTAAGATTGCACAAGCCCTAAATAAGTGAAATCATTTATCCAAGATCCCGGAGTTGAAATTAGATCATAAGAGCTCCTGACTTGCATCACCTACGACCCAAAAAATAATTAAAGTACGGATATGTATGTAAGGTACTGCTGCTCTTTGGCATGTGGAAACCTGCAGTGAGTTCTATTACTGTAGGGGAGAATCTAGCATAGAATGGTAACGTTGAGGTGGTAGAATGAATGGTGGATTAATCAAAACATAGGCTCTTGAAACCAAGCTGCCTGGTTTGTGTCTGCTACTTACAGTGTGACATTCCTTACCTTCCTCATCAGAAAAACCGTTTTTTCTACATGATTGCTATGTGAATTAAATAAGAACATATGAATTATTTAGAAGGTGCCTAACGCGATTTATACTCAATAATGTTCACTACTATTATAACTAAGAACCGAAAAGGAACTGTAAATTGAGGCGAAGCAGACTGAATTATTTCTCTTCCAAAATGAAAAAGTGACAAAGAAAAAAGAACAAATTTGAAGATCCCAGTTACTCTGAAATATTAGCATTGTCTGCCTCTATTTGATGTTTGTGATTTAATTTTCTTTATCCCTTTCTGTATTTTGCAAATTTTCTTCATTAAATACGTTTTACTTTTCAAATTTCAGAAAATATGAACAACACTCGTCAGAGCTTTTTTAAAGTAAAGCACTCATTAGGACCGAGATTTAGCTCAGTGGTGCCGCCCTTGCCTGGCAAGCATAAGTTCGATTCCCGGAACGGGGCGGGGGGTGGTGGGGTATTCTAAAGTACAGCACTCATTGAGTTTGCTCAAGTGGCACAGTAAAGTGGTAGAACCTTTCTAGGAGGCAGTTTGCCAGTATGCTGTAGATAACTTTAAAATGGACAGTTCCCTTTTGAATATTCTTAATTTTAAAAAATTAACTTTCACATTCCCCTTTTAGAGAATTAGAACTTTTTAACAGGTAAAGAGCACAATCTAGAATCACTGAATGTTCCCTTTCTCCCCCTACCCTTCATCCACACTGAAGACTGGTGCACAGCCTTCAAGTCCTTTCATATAGTCTTCATATTCTCTGAAAATGTATGTATGCATTTTAGACACCAACTCGCTCGTGAAGTTCTTACAGATCAGGGATTCAGCCCCGCTCACAAGGAAGGTCGCGGCCCCCCCACCCCACCCTTTATGTATGCATTTTAACGGAAGTGGTGTACTGTATCATTCTACACACATTTCTTTATTTGATAATCTTTACAGTTTAACATTTATAGCTCACTGTTATTTATGGATTATTTTACCTGCTGAATAGTGACTGTTCCATTGTTAAGAATGAAATGTAAACTATTTCTTTTGTCTCTGATTGCTTTTCATATTAAAATCTATTTTGTTTGATATGTGCTGTGCAGCACATTTTATTTGCTGTTTTCCTCTTGCTGGACCTTAGGTTGTTTCCAGTTTTCCACCTTAACATCACTGCAAGGATGATATTTTATATTTTATTGTGCACATGTGCTATTTTTCAAGGATGTATAACCTAAAAATGGAAATTGGTTTTAAGTTATGAACATTTTCAGATTTAGTAGGTCAGACTAAGATTGCTTCTTTATTAATCTTTTAATTTACCCATCCAACAAGTAGTTTATGAGAGTTCAATTTTGCCACTATCTAGATCAACACCAAATATTTCTTTTTGTTTTGCCTATTTGATGGCTGAAAATGTTACTCAAAATTTTTCTCTGACTTAAGTTTGGAATATCTATTCATATATTTATTAACATATGTTTCTTTTAAAAAAACTTATTTTTCTATTGGGTCATCTTAATTTACGTTCTTTACATGTGTATCCTATATAATTTGAAAAATCTGTTTAGTGTCTATGGGTATGTCCCTTTTCTGTTGCTATTGCTAAAATATGTTACAGACTTAACCTCTTGTATGGGTTTTGGCTTTACGTTTTACTTATTCTACAAATAGATTTTTCTCGTCTTTGAATATTTAGCCCCCCACCCCACCCCCACAAGGAATCAAACTCAAGACCTTGCTTTTGCCAGGCAGGCCAGGTGGGCTGAGCTACATCCCCAGCCCAGCCCTCTTTTTAAAAATCTTTACTGTATTTCTCTAAGACTACCAGCACAATATTGAATAACAGCAGTGATGAGGATTGTCCTCATCCTATTCCTAATGAAGATGCTTCTAATGTTTCATTATTTATTTATTTATTTTGCAGCTAGGTTTTGGTAAATAGTCCATATCAAAGTATGGAAGTTCTTTTTTTAGTCCTAGTTTGCTAAGGGTAGTCTCTCCTTCCCAGTGTAGTGATTAAATTTTATTGCATTGTTTTAGGTCACAGCTTTCTACTAATTCATCTGTTATGGCAATTCACATCGATAAACTTTTTGGATATTCCTGAGATAATCCCACATGTATACTACTGCTACATAATTTTAATGTTTTTGCATTTATAACCAGAAGTAATTCTGGTCTTGAGGGTGTTTTTTTTCTCATGTGTCAAGGTTATACTAATCTTGCAGAAAGAGATGAGTAGCTCCTCATATTTTTCCTGCTCTGGAATAGTTTGTGTATGTCAGAAATAACATCCCTTGAAAGTTTTATACAATTCATCTTTAAAACTTAATGGAGCTGCTGGTATACTGGGAGTGAGGGGTGAGCTATATTGACATGTCCCTGTGTTAAGAGTTTATTGTTTTAATTTCTATTTATACTTAATTCATCTTCTTGGAATTTTTACTTCTTGAGCCTACTTGGTAGTTTGTATTTTCCTAGAAAATTGTTCAGTTCATCTAGGCATTGCTATAAAACTGTTTGAACCTTAAAATGTTTAAAAATCTCTTATCTTTCATTTCTTACTTTGTTGATCTTTTCCAAGTTTCTTTCTTGTTTTTCTTCCAGTACTGAGGATTGAATCCAGGGCCCCAGCACCACCACTATTTCCCCTGCTACATACATTGTCCAGGATGGACTTGAACTTTGGATCCTCCTGCCTCAGCTTCCCAAAGTGCTTGAATTATAGGCATGTGCTTGGGCCCCCAGCTGTTTTTCTCAACCTCTTAACTGAATGGATAAATGAATAATTTCAATTTTCTCATTTTTTAATTAATAAAAAATCAGTTAAGGCTTAAATATTTCTGTGCTTGCTACATTGGCAAAATTCTTCAGGTTTTTTTTTTTTTTTGGTACCAGGGATTGAACTCTGGACCTTGCGCTTGCAAGGCAGGCACACTGCCACTGAGCTAAATCCCCGGCCCCTGTTAAATATTTTTTGATATTTTAATCTCTTTTGACTTTTACATTAAACTCAATATGAATGTTCCCTGTGTTTACTGGTGTGTCCTTTTCCAGATCCCTTCATTTTCAACTTTTCTATGTCATTTTTTATGACTGAGGTGGATCTCTTATTTAAAATTATCATAGCTAGCTTTTGCTTAATGTGAGTTTCCTTTAGTAGGTAAGGTTAACATACCTTTAGTGTAATTATTAACATATATGACCTTCTTCTTGTCATCTTATTTTCCATCCATTTCTTTATGTCTTTTATATCTAAAGCATAACTTTCATTTCTCTTTTCATTTGAGGTTAACCCCAAGTTTTATTTGTTCTGGTTTTTGTTGTTTTGTTTTTTGAGACAGGTTTTGCTGTGTAGTTCAGTCTGGCCTTGAACTCACTATGGAGTCCAGGCTGGCCTGGAACTCATGGAGATAGATACTCCTTCCTCAGCCTCCCAAGTGTTGAGATTACAGGTGTGCACCACCTCGCATGGCTGTTTTCTTTTAGTAGATTACATTTACATTTTCAACACAATTCTTAAATTTATATTTTCCTAACAAACTTTAAACTTAACCAGTATTGATATCCTCCTGATGAGGGGAAACCTAGCATTTTTCAGTTTTGGTGTTTGTGGTGGTACTGGGGATTGAACCCAAGGCTTTCACACTGAGCTATATCCCCAGCCTTTAAAAATTTTTTTTTTTAATTTTGAGACAAGGTCACTATACATCTTTAAATTGCCTATGCTGGGCTTGAATTTGTAATCCTCCTGCCTCAGCCTCCTAGTATTAAATTAGAAATTATTATAAGGCAGTTAGATAAAGCTGAGCTCTCAGCATGGAAAAACAATTGAGGAACATTCACTGGTTAGCATTATAAAAAGAAAAGAGGTACTACTTCCCCTAGAGATGATTAGCAGTGATTGATATTCTAAATAGACATCAATCTCCTTAGCCCGGTTCCTTTCCAGAAATTATTTGTACAATGCCCTGTTTTCCCATTTGATCCTCATTTAATCATTACCTGGATGACTGTACTTGTAATCTTATTTGTTGATTATGTTTTTGTCTCACCTCATGCCTACGTTGTAATCTTCCACTGGGTCTTATAGTTTTTGTTTTTTTGTTTTGTTTTTTTCTTGGTACCAGAAATAAAACTCAGGACCTTGCACTTGCCAAGCAGGTTTGATGCTACTGAGCTAAATCCCCGATCCTAGTTTGGTCCCACTTTGTACCCTCCTCACCTCCTGGCTTTGCCATATAAAACACCTTTGAAAAGCAGGGTGGGTGGGCAACCCACTTTCAGGTCCCCCTTCTGACAATAAATTTTTCTTACTCTTAGCCTCCATTGTTCCTAGAATTCATTCTTCAACTTTATAGAGAACACGATTTCGGATATCTAGCAGATTGGGAGTTGTAATATTTCCTTTGTGTGGATTATTTTTGCTTATTTGGATATCATTTTGGTCCCCCTGTATCACTAGAATGCTGAGATTATAGTACTGTGCCACCACGGCCCTGGTTAATTTTCTTTATGAAGTACTTAACCATATTTCTGTCTGTCTCTGGGTGGCTCTTTGAGTATCTGTAGAAGTCTCATAGGTATCAAAAGATACCTTGGCTGGAAATAGAATCCTGGGTTCATACTTATTTTCCTTTAACATTTTGTATTTGGCGTTTCTGATGAGAAACTGCATTACCAGTCTGATACATGTCCCTTTTAGATAATACAGATTTTTCTTGAAGTTTGGAAGACTTATTTTTGGTATTCTGAAGCTTATCACAAATTGTCTAGTGGCATGTATTAATAATTTTATTTGCATGGACTCAGAGGGCTTATGTGTTTTCCAGTTCTGAGAAATTTTTGATTATTATTGCTTCATCTATACAGTATTCTTTTATATTTTCTCTTGTTTCTTTGGTCTGTGTTCTCCAGCAGTTACTCAACTCAGTCTTCCAGGTTACCAGTCTTTCAGGTTATGTGGTTCTTCAGGACAATCCATTATTAAGTCATCTGTTGAATTTATTGCAACAACTCTTATCCAGGATGTTTACTTGGTTATTTTTCAGAATTGTATATTATTTCATGGATGCGGTTTCCTTCTTTAGGTCTTGAAGATATCAAATATAATATTTATTTAAAATTATTTTCAGAATTCTTTATTAATTCTCCTCTTATTAAACTAATCAATCTGGTAAGCATAGCAAGTTTCATTTTCATGCTGTACTTTCTTCAGATGTTCTGAGACTCTTGTACCTTTGTCTCCTTTGTGTGGTTTCCTGCCCATCCTATTTTGTTGTGATTATGGTTGGCATTGCCTTTGTAGCTTTTCATCTGCTTAAATTCCCGAGTCACAGACTTTGTACATTGGGTATTTTTGTGTTTAGCATGACCATATTATATTTTAAGTCTTCTAATATTTTTTATGGATTGGTGAGAAATAGTAGAACTTACTAGATGGTGACTCATATCTAAATCTTTAATGTGTGGATTTTTGACCGAAGTATATTATGTAGGCATTTAGTCATAAAAAATATTAATGAGGGCCGAGGATGAAGCTCAGTGGCGCTGCACCTGCCTGCCAAGCACAAGGTCCTGAGTTCAATCTCCTGTACTGGAAAAAAAAAATATTAATGAGGGAAAGTGCAGAATGTTATTGGTGAAAGAGTATGAAAATTTATATTCACTAAAATTCAAATTTTGTTTTGAAATTATATACTGAAAGAATAATAATTGCTAGCATTTGTTGACTCCCTCACATCTATCAGGCATTATTCTAAATAGGTAAGTCTTATTCTCACCAGAACTTATGAGGCAGCATTATTATCTCCATTTAAAAGGTTTTAAAGTATTTATAAGATAGGAATTATTTAACTGTTGATTGATATAGTAAAAGTGTTAATTAACAAATATGTTAAATATGGGTGACAGAATTAGGAGTAATTCTTAACCTCAGTAATTTTTCTAATTTTGATATTTTACATATTTTTCCAGTTAATTTGGAATTTTATTATGATTCATGCTATTTTAAAAGATAGAGCTGTTGTTATAACAATATCTTTTTCCCTTTATGTTTTGTGCTTTACAAATATGCACCATTCTTTATTGTTTTTCTTACAGGATGTCTCATGCATTTGTGGACCAAAAGATGGAGTTGGTTTTACTCTTTAATAGTGTGATATTGCTATAAATACTCACTTGATGAAGATGCATCAGCCAGACTTGTTGGGACTGCTAGTCATCTGTGAAACCTTTTTCAACTACGGTTTCTAAGTATCAAAGAATATTGTGTTTAAAATGGCACAATGATTTATTTTGTCTGAGGATTGCACCTTTTGTAGGCAACAGTTGGATTCCAGTTACACTCTTATCAGAGTAATTAATATCATTCAATCTTGATAAACTTAATTTTGAAGAATTTTATATGTATAAACAGCACCAAAAGATGGGAGAAAAAAATGGTAGGTTGAAGAACACATTATTAAATTTTATGTTTAAAATTTATAGACAAGTTGAACTGTGGAATTTCTAAAGTTTTTCTTTTTAAGTGACTTTTCTGAATTAGAGGGAATAAAGTTCCAACTTTGACTGTCTTTATAGTTAATTGATAATTACTAATGTTAAATAAGAGCTCTGATGTACTTTTAAATGTTTTTAATGGTACTGGGGATTGAACGCAGGGCCTTTACAGGCCCTTTTTATTTTGAGATAGCATCTCACTAAATTGCCTAGGTACTGAATTGTACCTCTGTACCCAACTTCTAAAGTACATTTTTTAAAAACAGACTACTTTTTTTTTTTACCAGGGATCGAACTTGGGACCTTGCGCTTACAAGGCAGGCGGTGGAACCACTGAGCCAAATCCCCTGCCCCAAAATAGACTACATTTAAGGGAAAAACATGTTCTTTATTTTTTATTTATTTACTTTTTGGTACCAGGGATCAAACTCATGACCTTGGGCTTGGGAGGCAGTCATGGTCCCACTGAGCTAAATCCCCGTCCCTTAAAATTTTATAGTAAAAGGATAGTTCAGAGAGTCACCATATGCCCAGCACCCAGCTTCACCTGTGATTAACATCTTACATTTAGATGGTTCATGTTAAATTAACAAACCCATAATGATACATTATTAACTAGCATCTATAGTTTATTAGGGTTTATATAATATTTTACTCCATTCCAGGATTCTATCCAGGATATTACATTTACTTTTCATGTTTCTTTAGACTCCTTGTGGCTGTGATAGCCTCTTAGACTCTTACTGATGTGGTGGGATTTTGTATCAAGGTATTTTGTAAGCTACCCCTCTACTGGAATTACAGTGTGATTTTTCTCATGATTAAACTGGGGTTATGAGTTTTGAGGAGTAAGGTCACAGAGGTAAAATGCCATTTCCATCACATCATATCAAGGGTTCCTGCTGTGAACATAATTTCTCTCTGTTGATCCTAAGCTTTATCACCTGGCCATATATATATATATATATATATATATATTTTTTTTTTTTTTTTAATTTTAGGTTATAATTCCGTGTGTGCTTATAGTACACAAATAAGATCAGGAACAAAAAACAAATTCTTTTGTGTGGGGGGGGACTGAGGCTCACCTCAGGGCCTCTCCCACTGGGTCTACTACTGAGCTACATCCCCAGCTTATGGCACTAAAATTCTTTACATTGTAATAATCATCTCTATGGGCTAAGCAGATAATGAAAGTCACCCCAGGGATCAAACTCGAGACCTTGTGCTTGCGAGGCAGGTGCAGTGCCACTGAGCTAAATCCCAGCCCTCTTTGTTTTTTAACAGTATTGGAGATTGAACCCAGGGCTTTCACATTGAGCTACATTTTTGGCCCTTTTTATTTTGAGACAGGGTCTATACAAATCTGTAAGTTACCCAGGCTGGGCTCAGACTTGTGATCCTTCTGCCTCAGCCTCCCAAAGTGCTAAGATTAAAAGTGATACTTGTATCACCCAGTGACAAGTTGTCTCTTCTTGAAGAACAAATGTAAAACCTAGCAGTCTGAAATAATAATGATTTTACAAGAAATGACATGCTTAGTTTCATTCTTTTATTGTACAAGCAGATAGTTTTGATACTTTGGTTGATTAACTTTGCTTTCTTAATTTTTTGTTGGCGGGAGGCTGGCAAACCCAAGGCCTTGTGCATGCTCAGTAGGCACTCTGCCACTGAGCTATAGCCCTGGCCTCTCTTTTTAAAAATTATATTGCCATTGTCATTTTATTAATTGGTTCTAAGATTAAGCAGTTAGTTTGTTGGGGTTTTTTGGTGTTGTTTGGGGGGGGCGGTTCTTTTGTGTTTTGGGTTGTTTTTTTTGTATATTGTTTTTGTTTTTTGAGACAGGGTCTCCGTGCACAGTTCAGGCTGGCCTTGAACTCACTGTGTAACCCAGGCTGACCTTGAAGTTGGAATCATCTTCCTGCCACAGTCTCTGCAGTGCTGGGATTGCAGATATGCGCCAGCACACCCAGCCTGTTTTATTTCTTATGAAAATAAGTAATAGTATATACAGGCATTTCTAAGATAGTTTTAATTAACAGTCACAAAAAAGAATTAGTGAGGCTCAGTTGCCATGTTTTAGCATCACTACTGCTTTCTCCAGGCAGCATAGTGTTATAGTACAAGTCTAGAATTTGTGTTTTGTGTTTATGATGCTGAGGATGGAACCCAGGCCCTCCTACCACTGACCTAAACCCCAACCCAATTAGTTAATTTTTAATCAACATAAAAATTGTATGTATTTGTGCCAAACTTGTTGTTGCATGCTGTTAGTCCCAGCATTTGGGAGGCTCAGGCAGGAGGATTGACAGAAGTTCAAGGCCAGCCTGGACTACATAGTGAGTTCAAGGCCAGCATGAACTACACAGCAAGACCTTGTATCAAAAATATGTTTTTGTGGGGCCCAGGGATTTAGCTCAGTGATTTCGTCGCCTGCTGCGCAAGTGCAAGTACCCGAGTTCGATCCCCAGTACCAAAAAAAAAAAAAACTAAGGAAAAACAGGTGAAGTCTTGGGGACAACTAAGTCAATGGACAGCTATCCCCTGAATACTTTCAGAGCAATGAAACTAACCCCTTATCATCCTCCTTGACATGAGGATTCTGTCCAAATCTAAAG